AGGCAGAAGGAGGCCATGTTCTGTTTGTGATGCAGAATTGGACGGTTAGCTGGGCTTCTCGTCCCCAGGGAGGATTGCCCAACATTTGTTAGTTATTTATTGGCAGAACTGGGGATTGAACCCAGGGCCTTGCTCCTGTCAGGTGAGTGCTCCACCCCTGGGCCCCATCCCCAGCCCTATTTTGTATTTTATTTAGAGACAGGGTCTCACTGAGTTGCTTAGGGCCTCACTTTTGCTGAGGCTGCTTTGAACTCTCGGTCCTCCTGCCTCAGCCTCCCGAGCCCCTGGGATGACATGGTGCACTATTACTCTTTTCCATGCACTGAAGCAGGGCCCGGGAGACCCAGCTCCCAGACTCTGCCTGAGCCAGAAGCCAAACACCTTCCCTCTGTAACTCTGAGGCTTCCTGCAGGATGAGAAGGGCCCAGCCCGAGGGGAGGGGGGAAGGAAACTTGCTTCTTTTCGAGGACGGGAGGGGGGGGAAGAGAAGGGGAGACGCTCGGCCACAGGAGCAGGAACCAGCCCGTGTTGGCTCCTTTCTCCTCTCCCGGCTCTGCTCCGGGGCCTGGATCACAGCCCCACCTGCCGCGGTTCAGATGTCAGCACACAAGTTCTTTCCTGTTGTGTTCTGTTTTGCTTTACCTTAGGGAGGGGCAGAAGGGGACACAGTTCAACCCACGCAAAGCGACAACTTCATGTCTGTTTTGTTTGTTTGCCATTGTGGGGTGGGGGCCTGGGGTGTGGCACGAGAAGGACCAGACCACCTGTCAGTGACAAAAATGGCCCTCTCCTCGCCTGCCAAGGCCTAGCTGCCCGGACACACCATCTAAGATCCATGCCGCTTCCTGGGTCAATGGCCCCGATTGCGCAAGGCCCTGGAGAGCGCAGGGCAGAGCAGTACTGTGAATAAGGAAGAAGAAACCGTGGGGCGGGAGAGTCCGCGTGGCTGAGTCCTCACACAGGCCACAGGGCATTTCTACAGCCCTCTCCCGCTCACAGAGAGGAACCAGGGCACAGGGAGGAAGAGCCACTGCCCACTCTGCTTGAGGCCACAGCCTCACCGTGTGGCCATGTCCACCTGCCATGCCCTCTCCCTCAAGCCAGCCAGACTCTGGAAGCTTCTGGAAAGTTCTCAGTGCTCTAAGTGGGACCCCTGTGGGTGGGCCTGAGGGCAGAAAGTCCGGGTCAGTCAGCTCTGCGGGCCTCCCGGACACTAGGGGCGGGGGCTTCGGAGCTCTGCTCGGTGGGAGCCAGGACCCCCTGAGGAAGCTCATCACCATACTAAAACCTTCTAGAAAATGAATCACCCAAACGTCCACCAATAATTCGTTTTTGTTTCTCTATTTGCTGTTTTTAGATATACACGGCAGTAGAGTGTATTTTGACACAGACGTACGTGGGGTGTAGCTCCCTGTGTATGTGGCTCTACGTGATGTGCAGTTTCCCGGGTCGTGTGGTCATAGAGGGACATGGAAGGTGACGTCCCATCATTCTACTGTCTTTCCTATTCCCATCCCCCTCCCTTCCCTTCATTCCCCTTTGTCTGCTCCAGTGAACTTCTATCTGCCCCCAATGTGTGTTAGCATCCGCATAGCAGACAGAGATCATTCAGCCTTTGGTTTTTTGGAACTGGCTTATTTCACTTAGCATAATAGCCTCCAGTCCAGTTCCATCCATTTAATGGCAAATACCATGAATTTCTCTTCTTTACAGCTGAGTAAAATAAATAAATATATATGTATGTGTGTGTGTATATATATATATATTATATATATAATAATATATGTAATATATAAAATATACCACATTTTATTTATCCGTTCATCTGTTGAAGGGTACCTAGGTTGGTCACCAATAACATTTTAACTAGATAAATTGTGGCACCTCCACTAGGTCTACTAGGTAGTGACTTGAGTATCCAAGGCTGTCTAAAGGAACACTTGGTGACCTGATTAAAAAATGAATAAAAATGTGGTAGAGGGCTGGGGTTGTGGCTCAGTGGTGGAGCGCTCTCCTAGCGTGCACAGGGCTCTAGGT